GGGGGGGGGGGGGAAGCCAGAAATGTAAAGGAAGGAGAGGAGGGATAATGTCAATGCATAGGAGACAGCAGATTCGTACAGGAGGAGAGGAGAAGAAACAAGAAGAGGATACAAGGAAAGAGAGTACAAATAAAGAGCAGTTGGAGACAAGGAGACAAGTAAGGGGAAATGAGGGGATTCTGGAGCGGAAAAGCATAGGGAGGAGAAGAAACAAGGAGAGAAGTGAAGGGGAGAGCAGGGAGAAGAGGAGTGGCAAGGAAAGGAAACAACGAGAAAGAAGGAGAGGAGAGATGATGGGAGTAAGCAAGGGGCGGAGGAAAGGAGATCAGATGTGGAGGGTGTGGGGATGAGGATAGGAAGTGAGAAGTGAAGGGGAAAGAAACAAGGTGAGGGAACAAGGAGATAAAATGAGATTAAGAGATTGGAGAAAAGAAGATATGAGCAGACCGAGGAATTAAGAAGAGAAGAAAAAAGCAGAGCGGTAGTTAAAAAAAGAGAAGGGTAAAGGAAGCAAAGAAAAGGAAATGTGGAAAGGAGACAAGGAGAGGAGAGTGAACAAGGAGATGAGATAAGAGAGGGGAGGAATGAGAGAAGCCAAACAAGGAAACAAAGATAGAGAGTAGAGATGTGTTAAAGAAGACAAGGAGGGGAGATAAGGGAGGAATTCAAAAGTGTGCAAAACAAAAAACAAGAAGGGGTATCGAAGAGAGAGCAGAAGATACAAAACAATAGGGGTAGCAAGAAATAAAAAAGTACAGAAGGAAATGATAGAAGCGATAAGTAGAGGTGTGGAGGAGGAGGAGGAGGAGGAAGGATCTCTTTATGAATCGAGCCTCCTGGGTGGAAACATCTCCTCCTAACTGACCTGACCTTTCTTTAAACACCTCGCAGCAGCAGGAGTCTCAGAGGCTCTTAATGTGCAGAATAAAGAAAGAAAAGTGGAAAGACAAAAGGGTTTTGAGGATGAGTGAGTTACGTTCAGGAAGATTAATGAAGGACAGTTTATTACACCGGGCATATAATGCATGTCACAGTATGTGTAAGGTGTAATGAGTACTGGAATAGAAAGTGGCTGGATTCAGCACTTGATGGATTGGAGGAGGTGTGTGGCACAGTGGACTAGTGCGTTGGTGTTCGGATCAGGGGTCAGCAGTCATGCTGACTGACCACTGCAGTCAGCATGTTGTTTTGTCCCTGGGCAAGACACTTCACCCCAAATTGCAGTATTGAGTATGTAAGTCACTTTGGATAAAAGCGTCTAACAAGTGATATGTAATCTAATCTCTAGTTTGTCCTTGAGAGGAAGATACAGAGAGAAACCATCAAGAACACCGTTTTAGTATTTTGAACTCTGACAGATTTCATAACGTGGCTATCACCAAAGTATAAATTCCAGCATAACAAGAAACATGAGCAGTCAAACCATCACATATTGTAAATAATCCTTGGTTCGGGTTGCAGATATTGTTAAATATCCGGTTCCATGGACCTGGCTTCATTAAAGGGGCCATGTTCTGCTCATTTTCAGGTTCATATCAGTATGTAGTGCCTCCACTGGGACATGTCTCCATGCTTTAATGTTCAAAAAGCTCTTTATTTTTCACTACCTGTGCAGCAGCACCTCTTTTCACCCTCTGTCTGAAACCAGAGCCCAGTCTGCTCTGATTGGTTAGCTGGCGGGCTCTGTTGTGATTGGTCAACCGCTTAGAGATGTGTCGGAAATGTCCCGCCTCTTTTCCTATCATGTACAATGTGTTATAGCACTAGCCAATAGAAGCCCGAATGTGGCATATTGATGTCATTATGTTACTGAAGTAAACAAAGGAGTCCAATGGAGGCGTTTCAGGCGAGGGGAGGGGGCGAGTGTGTGGGAGAGAACACAGGGATTTTAGCCTTTGCTGACCATTTACATGCACACAATTATATAGAACACACTACAGGAAAGCGAAAACCCCAAAAAGCAGAATAGGGCCTATTTAAAGTATAAAATCCCCTGGACGATACTGTGTGTGTGAAAAGGAAATGATCAAAGTAGAATCTGAGTTTTGGCTGCTCTGATGAAGATGGATTCTTTGCAGACCGTTGAGGATGAGCAGCCGGCTGAATGAAACACATTTAAAAAGCCTTTCACGTGCTCTGAAAGCTCATATTGTATGTAACTATGTTGGAACAGGCTGTACAAGGAGGAACAATCCAAGCTTGACACAGCTTAAGTTAAACAATGACAGAAAACAGTATGTGGTGGCAGGGCTCTGCTCGGAGCCTCAGGGGGACAGTACTGCCTCTGTGCTTTATTCTGGGAAAATAGGAGGAGCAGACAGGTGCACCTCCCTGATATTATACAGTTCACGCCTCTGTTCACTGCAGCAGAGCAGACACTTTCATCAAAATAACAAGCAGACTTAAGGTTTGCTGTGGCCACATTGTTTTTGTCAGCTTTTGTAGATTGATGCTGTAGTAAAATAGCCTCTGGTTTAAAAACAATTTGAATCAAAATGCATTCAGTTGCCAGAGGCAAGTGCACACACTGCACCACTTTTCTGCTGATCCTGGAACAGGCATCATTTGGTGTTTACTGCATCCATCACCAAACAGGAAACAGGATGATTTTTCAAAGAAAGTGAGTGGAATGGCGTCAAAATAAGTAAACTGTATGTACAGTTTAAAGTGACAGGGATGAACTTATAATGTAATGATATGGTATTATAAAATATGGTATTATAAAAATGACTTCCATTATGTGTAAATGACAGTTGCGTCTGCAATCATTTTGAATCTTTCCCTGTGAAAGGGATGTGTTTCAATATCTGATATCAAGCCATGAGCTCACTCCTGACTCTGTAAACATAGACTTTATGCCAAAAAACAACAACAAGTGAGTGTTTGCTTTCAGGCTCTCTGGGTGATACATTTTTAAAAAGCAATAAGGGAAATGAGCCGGAAAATAAAACAGAGTTGATATTCAGAGCAGCACGAGACACTGCGGCCCTGAATACTAATCCTGGCGGTCTGTGAGGAGGGGGTGCAATGCTGGGCCGGACCGCATCAGCATGTCAAGTGGAGGTCAGCCGTGTTAGCCGTGTGCTAATTGCTGTTACGGCTAATAGGAGCTACTGTCAAAGACACTGAACACGTTTACAGGCACTAAATATTCAGGGTTTTGCCCTTACTCTGTTTATGACTAATGACAATGAATATTCCACCAATATTCCTTTTTACATGCCATCGTGCAAACCAAAATGAATAGGTTTTTTGAAAGTATTTTCAACGTGGCAGCAATTCTTGACCTTTGCAACAAAGTGTCCCTTGGTCATTCTGTCAACAACATTCTTTCATAACTTTAAAAGTAAATGTTTTTCTCCTTTCGACCAGAGGGTTAGTTTTTCTTTTCTGCATGCATCTCTACTTGTTTTGCAGTATAAACCCCTATTGAGATGCATATTCCAAATCCGCTTTACGTATCCATAAAAAGGTTCAAACCCCTGAACAATATAAGCATACACCACATACAGTATCTTAATCGGAAAATTCTATATTTAAAACAAAGATAAAGAGAACTGGATACAGCATTGGAGGCGGACCCCGTTCATTCCTATGAAAGTTGCTCAGTGGCGCATGAAGCCAAAATGGCCTGACTTGAGAGAAAGAGTACCCGTATTGGCGCCCAAAGAGCATGTTGTAGTACCGCCGTTTGGACACTTGGAATATTTGTTTCAATGTCCAGTTCAATTCCTCGGGTCTTGGAATCAACAAACACAATATGCTGTTTCCTGTTTTAAACTCTTCACTGCCCTGTTCCAAATCAAAGAGGAATATTAGCTTGCATGTAAACGTAGTCAGTGTCTGAGAAGTCATGACCTGATGCATGAAAGCTGAGCCTCTAAATACATCTGGGCTCCTGTGGATGAGCGACTTCGGGTTGTTTGGAAAATATAGACTGTAAATAAACTTCTAAATGGGGTCCTGCATGTTTAATGTGGTAAATTCAGGAATGAATCAGGACAGATTCCTGAAATTGCCCCTGTGCGGAGAGGAAAATATGGATCGGTGTGAAGCAGTTTAAGCTCTTCCCCGGCTGGGACTGACTGGCTGTTATCTTCTTCTCTTTCTGAGTATTTTCTCAAAGCTCTTTTTTTAATTTTTTTTAAGAGTGCCGTGGCCAAGGATGGGTCAAGGCTGCTGCAGTCTGCAGGTCGGGGCAGTGGGGAGGGTCTGCCGGAGCAGATAAGACGAGAGCAGCTCCACATTTCAGAGGCCCAGCACTGGGTCTAACCTCCTGTTCACACACACTCTCAAGTGTCCCACTCCTCATGAGCCTTTCTGCTCTGATTGGGCCATTTATTCATCCTGTTGCTAATGTTATTGTGTTAAAAAGAAACATTTTCTTATTTAAGAAATATTTAACTTTCTATCTGAATTGATGTGATTTGAATTTTTGTGTTTCCCAAAAGTTTGGCAATTTCAAATATTTTAGATTTGTTCATGATGGACAGTAACCTGAGAATGTGTGATGGCTTCCAACAGCGAAATGTCACACTTCAAGTAAATGATCTATGTGCCCTTTTTTTGTTGTCTATGCTGCACATAAAATGGCGATGGTGCAGTCAAAACAGATGGGTTTTTAGTCTGAGATGTAATATAGGTAGACTTTCTGCTTTCCTGAAATCAATGGGGATGTGGTTATTTCAGGGATGACGGGGATTGAGGTTGTCGTGCAGGTCTGCCCCCCCCAGATGTGTGCACCACGCTGATGACCAGGTTGATGGAGCATCTGCAGGCCATTGTTTTGACCTGGTCAGGGGTTCACACAAACAGAAGCCGTGCATTTCATCACTGAGAATGAGACCCCTATGCTATGCTATAACATCACTGTCACTCACAAGAAAATTAAATGTCCAAACTTTGTCTGAAAAATGGTTCTTGAAAGAAAAAACGCACGTATATTGTCCTACAAGTAAGTGACATTTTGAAATGGGATATTCAAACTAAAAGTAGTGGGGGTCTTAAAAATAAAACAATTTAAAGTTATATATCAGTGGTCTTCATTTCATAATCAGATACAGTTGCTTGAATGATTTCAATCCTGGTTTAACTTCCATACAGTATGTGTTTTGTTCGTTCTCAATTTCTTCTCTTGTACCTATCTTATATGTGTTTCTGCACACATTAAACTGAAAGGCTCCTCCACATAAACAACCTTTTCCTGGCGACCTTGCATCTTGTGCTTCACTCTTGCCATCTTGCATAATGTGTCGTAGCATTAGAGCTGTTAAAAGGCAGTTCAGCGTAAGCTAGCTTGTTGGATTGGCCTCTTGGCTGTTCAACACCAGCAGAGCACTGAGACAGTGTGAAGAAGAGAGGGAGAGATGAGGAGTCAGGGAGAGACTACACGGCTGGATCATGGGGAAATATCAATTTGATATGAAATTGTTCCGTGGCATCACTGTAGATTATTATGGAAGAGAAAGATGTCTGTGAATAGATCTGACTATTATAGTAAAGCTAGTTTAAATCAGTCAAAAGCACCACCACGACCTTCCTCTGGAAATCAAAACATCGAACATAATCGAACGACAAAAACTTGATCTCTAAGCAAGCTAGGTTAGATCCAGTAACTCAAATGTCATAACACACACCAAGATCTGGTAAAAACCAAGGTTTCTGTAGATAGTCGCCCCTCTGCTGTTTGAGTAATCTCTGATAGTCTGCTGGTGGGCCGGGGGTTCCTCTGAAGCGCAGCAGAGAGGAGAGGAGGCAGATGGAGCGTCAGGTGGAGGGTTTAGAAGTGGAATACCTGCTGCTGGCCCTGGACTTTGGGGAAGTCCTCTTTCTGCTTGCGTGTTTTGGGCCGCTCCAGGCTGCCTTGCTGAAGGTGTTTGAGCCGGGCTGCCACCGTGGGGCCCTTGGTCGGCCCCGGGGAGTGAGTGCTGTTCTGTGGGAGCAGGGACAGGGCAGGTATAAGACTTGTTTACATCATAATACATACCATAAGTGTTCACTACATGAACTTGGCATAATAACACTACATATGTGATTGTTGATCATCTCTTTCCAAAATAATGGGCATTAATCTGCTGCTATTCTAATAAATAGACCGAAGCACCGTTTGGAAGTATGTTTAACTCTTTGTGGACATGTTAGAGCAGGTTTTCAACATCGAGGTATTACAAAAACTATTGTAATTATTTAAGAGACATTGCATATTTAGCCCAATACACAACTAACAAACAAGGAAGAGTCACCAGCAACGGCCTTTAAAGACATTCCAATCCCAAAAAGTCTTATATAAACTCGATTTAGAAACCTGACTAACTTTATAAACTTGCAGAGATATACTTTAAAATAAAGAAATTAAAAAATAGCTTTCCCTGATGTTAAAACATAAACATATTTTTGTAATAATAAATATTCAACCCTTAGAGATATTTCAGATTATGAGAGTCCTAGGGTTGTAAGATATCTGGTTATGTTAAAATTATAGTGTCAACATCGCTGCCATAAAAAGGAACATCCCACCTTTCAAATGAATATTTTCCCTGAGGAAAACTTGGTAGACCTTTCTTAGAAAATGGGAGAAATGTTTCTCTTCCACACAAACAATGAGGGCATAATAATATCTGGGTAAATCAAATATGGACACAAAGATAGTAGACCAAGTAATGTTACAGGAACCCCCCTCTGTCACCTTCCCTCCCCCTCACTGTCCTTTCTTTCTTTTGACAGCTACCTGCTTGTCGTCGTTGTGCAATAATTCCAACACAAAGCAGAAAAAGCGACTCTTTGCTCTCTGTTAGATGTCACCAGACAGAAAGTGAATACATGGATCTGTGACTCACTGCACATCACACCATCAATTACAATATGTACACTGCTAAAGCTGCAGTTAACTGAGACCATCAAACACAAACAAACACTACAATATGTGCAGAGCTCAGAGGAAGCAGCAGAGGAACTGTTAACAAGGTCAGAAAGAGAAGTTCAGTAGAGCATCAAACGCACAAATGTTTTTATCTTTTCTATTTGGTTAACTTCGGTTAACTTGGTCTTCTATAGTAGATACATTTCTTGATGGTTGATTAATAGCAGTGTCAAAACATGGTAAAGGTAACAATACCAATTACATCACCCTTAAATCTTTATATAAGGAAGACTTTAATCCAGGGGGGCCAAATCCGGCCCGCGATTTCATTTCATGTGGCCCGCAAGAGCTCTGAAAGAATGTAATGTGTTTATTATAGGGTTACATGCCGATTTACAGATGCACTATGTCCATAAACTACATGTCCCACAATGCATCTTAAATTTGGCTTTTTTCTCAGAATTTGCCTTTTTCTTCAAAATATGCCTTTTTCTTAGAATTTGACTTTTGGTCAGAATTAGAATTTTTTTCTCAAAATATGCCTTTTTCTCAGAATTTGACTTTTTTTTTAATTGTTACTTTTTTTTCAAAATGTGGCTTTTCTTTTTAAATAATGTTTTGACATTCTCACTGAAGAGACTTGCACTTATTTGCCCTGGACTTCTGCTTTCAGACCAAGTTAATTTTATTAAGTTTTTACCCTATCCGATAACAATCCAATGCAGAGGCAATAACGTAATATAATACATTATTTTATATATATTACATATTTATATATGTATTTTTATATAGTCTTAAAGTTACAATCGGCCCTTTGAGTGCAACCATAATGCTGATGTGGCCCGTGATGACATTTAGTTTGACATCCCTGCTTTAATCCAATAAGTGTTATTTAAAATCCCAAAATGATTTCCTTAAGATGTTGTAAGGTCAACTTAGTCAAGAGTAAGTGTTTACCCTTAGATGCAGAAGTATTCTGTTGCTAGGTCAATAGAAACCATTTCCTCAGGACTTTTGAAAGGGATCTATACCATCAGTCTTATAATAGTGAAATAATTTGTGGGACGATGGCTTTAATTATGGTGATTAAAGGCAAGGAACCTTTCTTAAGACAAACTCTGGACCCTGAGAGATGTTTTAGAAAGTAATAAAAGGACTGTGTATTTCAAAATAAAAACTAATATATTATACATATACATGTTCTTATTGTATTGTGTATCATATTCTTCGCGGAGAGCAACATCGTTCCAGTTTTGTTTCTTTTTGTGTATTTGAATTGTCGCTAGGGACGATAATTCAGGTTAAGTTAAAAAAATGTGTTGCTTAGTAAACTAACATAAACTAAAGTAAAAGCCTTAAACACATGGGCAAGGAATCAACCTCAGAGGCTTTACGCAACATTACTACATTATTTGCTTAAAGGACTACATTTCAGAAAAATTCCAAACTTAGAGTAGTTTCAAAACTTTACACACTGACGCCACAATGAAAGACTGTGTACACCTCTCTGTGTTCTCTGTGATTAAAACTGACTTAAAACACTTTGAAATGATTTGTTTTGTAATCTTGATCCATGGAGTTGACAGTTTGGGTGTTAGTCGTTTTAAAAGCTGTAGTAAAGTATAGAATCAAAAAGGGAAGAGGACGGCAAAGTAGAAGCACAGTCCAGAGGCGTGGCAGCTGGAGAGGGCCGCTTTTCACTTTACCTTTCTGCCCAAGGACCCCAAGATGCAGCGAGGGGTGGGGGTGGCCTTTGGTTGGGTGCTTTTATTACAATCTTTTACAGGTGTTCTTTGAAATATCTGTGATACGTGATGTGAGAGAGTGTGGCAGAAACATGTTAAAACACCAAACTTCAGGAGCACAAATCAACAATGTGTTGCGAATAAATCAGTTATTTACCTCGAGCTCGGCTATGATCCTCTCTTCGTCGTCGTCGTCCTGAATGCCGGACGCTGCGATCACAGGCGGGGTGGAGGCGGGGCGGGGGGTGTCACAGGGGGTTCGCCTCAGCTTCACCAGAGTTTTAGGCATGTCACCATCTTCTTCCATCTTAAAGGAGAATGGAAGAGGTTAAATGCCCAGGTAGTAGAATGCATACAGCGCACAGTCTGCACCTTCAAATGGACCAGCAAGTACTTCCAGACAGTTCTTTTTATTTCCACAAAGGCCTCATTGGCGACTTAAAACTGTTTTGGGATTTACACAGAGTAACCTTTTCAGTAGGTATTCTTTTTAAGTACAATGATATTCTATGATCCTGTTTTGTCATTATATTTTTATGTGATGATATGCTGAATATTATTGGGCTTTGCACTGTTAGTAGAATACAATAGATATTTGAAAACATCACTTTAGACATTTATTTGTTCATTATTTGGGGTAATTCTATAGAAGAAACACATAAGTAAAGAATTTAATATAGTAATCCATAATTGTTTGCTAGCTGCAGCCCTAATGTCAACAGGAAATGGTTGAAAGTAACTTCAATTGTATTTCATCTCCGTTTAAGGATCTCAGAAACAGACTTTTGACTGACTGAATAATATTTGTCAACTTCTAAGTTATTGTTAAATGTTATCGTTTTTTTAATGACAATAAAGAAGAAGACGTAATTAGAACCTGCCACGCTTCCATTTTGTTTTCATATGAACACCTTTTATACCTTTCAGACATTTAAAGACATCACCTTGGACTTAGAGAAACTGAGATGGAAATGTTTCACTATTTACCAAATATGATTAATCGAGAAAATGATCAGCTAATTCGTGAATAAGGAAATATTTTTATAATTATTTGCAGCACTAGTTTTTCATGTTCTTCAGTATATTTACTTCTATGAGACAACAGGATGTGTTGTGCAGTAGGTGTATAGACAGTAAAGGTCACAGCCTTACAGAGTGTAATGTAATGTGGTGCAGAACTTCGGCAACAATTCATTTGTGCTGAACGCTGATGGAGTATCAATAACCCTAAATACCAAATATCAATACACAGATCTTCTCAACATCCCAAAATAACAAAAACAGAGCTCTGTATTGATTTTGAGTGTCCTTCGTTCTTTAACCGAATACTCCAATAAGATGAAAAGTGATTTTTCCAAAGGCATCCACTTAGATTTGAGATATTTTGCTTATTTTTCGGTCCAGATCAATAGTACAGGGGTTGCCAGGAGTTATACAATCCGAAATCAATTAAACAGACAACCTATTTGGATTTTTTTGATACATTAATCCTTATTTGCATGCAATTTTCCATGTCAGACACTAAAAGGAAGGGACAACAAATGGATTAGTGGTTGTTTTCCTTTGCTTCCATCATTGTAGATTTTTAATCACAATTTTTTTTTTCTTTGCTCTTGCTACAGGTATTTAATAAGATAAAAACGTGTGTTTTATTGGAGTTATTGAATAATATTGAGATAATCTTTTCGATTTATACTGCCACCTTGAAATCATGTGTGAACTGTGAACAGCTACAAAAAGGGAGGGGTCCTTGAGTTTTCAACTCTTTTTGGAATGAATGCCTTGAAGGATTCAGACTGTTGTGGAGACAGAGGTGAATTCTACTCAGGAAGTTTCCTCACAGAGCGATGGATGAGGGAGATCAGGGAGGCTTTAGAGCAGCAGCAGCAGCAACAGCAGCTTGTTCTCGCCTCAAGCCAAAACCTTAAAATGCCTCCAGCTAACAGAAAGCTCACTGATGTACATGTAATATCCAGCATGTTTTTAAATCCCTACATGGAAAACCACGGGGACCTTTGGTGAAGATAACTATTTTAAGCTACATCTAACTTATATGATTTTCTTATTTTGTTTTTGCTGACAGTGCCTTTTTAAACTTCACACAAGTTGTGCCGAACAAAACAGTCAGGTTCAGGTTCAGGTGTACTGTATATCAGTATGTAGTGTCTCTACTGTGACATGTCTCCATGCTTTAATGCTCAAAAAGCTCTTTATTGTTCTCATACTAAAGAAAGGGGGGGCTTTATTTGTCACTTATGTTGATGTTCCGTGCTGCAGCACCTCTTTTCACCCTTTGTCTGAAACCAGAGCCCAGTCTGCTCTGATTGGTTAGCTGGCCAGCTCTGTTGTACCCGATAGAAGTGTTACTTTCTGATGCTACAGAAGTAAACAAAGGAGTCCAATGGAGGCGTTTCAGACAGGGGGGGATTGTGTGGAAGAGAAACTCCCTCTGGAGAGAACGTTAGGATTTGAGCCTTTGCAAAATAGGGCCCCTTTAAGAAAACACTGAAGGTTTCAACCCGCGGCGCTATAGAGGTGGGTTTCATCTGTGAAATGTCACTAAGATTATAAATTAAACAGCTGCTGTTGAAACTTAAAGCAGCTCTGCTCTCAGTGACACTCACTGTCACATCATTCATTCAAACTGCCGGCTGCCGTGTGTTTATTTAGGAGCTGCGAGGTTCACTCGCTCTCAGGGAACAAACCGGCCATTGTTTTAATGGCAGCTGTCACTCCTGGAGCAAACTAGGGATGGGAACGATTAATAGAATATTCAGGTATTCGAATAATTATTCATGTATTCGAATATGAATTATGAATATTTTTATTATTATTATTAATTTATTTTTGGGAGGGATGCCTAAGTTGATTACATATTATCAAATTGAATAATTCAATATATATATACGACAGTGCCATAGCTAAATGTGTTAGTTGACGTCTAAAGGTGTGTTTTGCTCCGCTCACCGGTCCCTCACAGCAGGCAGAGCTGCAGGTGCTGGTCTCCACGCCGCTGTGTGGACGGGCCGTTATACTTCACTCACGTTTATGTCCAAATCCATCAGATCTAGCTAGTTCTAGCTAATGATATGGCTGCTGCCCCTCCCTACACGCAGATCACGCAGACTCAAACCTCATCTTAGGCCCAAATGTGGCGCAAATGCGCTCCGCAGCCGTTGCGAGGTTCCGGCGCTAACAGTTCATGGGCATGCTCCCCTGCCCCCTGTCAACACTCGCGACACATGAGTGGCCAGCCTAAACAACAATAAGCGCTGCTTGGCAACCGTGTGTGGCGGCAAAGTACATAGACATTTTGACAGGAGAGATTTAGTTTTGCCGTTATTCAACATATTTTACCAGTCATAGTCCGGTAATTATTTACACTCTAAGAAGAGTCCTACACAACAGACATGGCGTCAAAAAGGAGTGATGTGTGGAAATATTTCGACCAGGTTAGTGAGTGCGGTGTAGAGGTCAAACTATGCCAAATTAAACTTATATATACACATACTATACCTTGCTATACCCGCAACCTCCGTTCCAGCTGAGAGGGTCTTCTCTACAGCTGGGCTGATTGTAAATCGCCTCCGCACATGAAAGCTGTAGGCCTATAGCTGTCAAACTGTGATCAGCAGTTCAATACATTTGACAAATTCGACTTGGTTTCTACACCTATTTGAACATGTATGTATTTATTTCCAAAAACTTTTCAAAAAAAAGTTTATTTTTATTTATTTTTTACCCAATTTTATTTTTTTTATAGGATATGTACACTTCGGTTAACCGGTTAACCGTTTTTTGGGGGGTCGAATATTCGAATATACATTTCCTTTCAAACGAGTCGTGGCTGTGGTCCTGGATCACAAGTCCTGGATGGATATCCTCGTGGATTCATCTTCCTATTATACACACATGCATTTCCAAACATTTGGACTACCTATGTTGCAAATGTATTATCTTTTCAATTTACACACGGCATCTATTGCACGTCTGTCCGTCCTGGGAGAGGGATCCCTCCTCTGTTGCTCTCCCTGAGGTTTCTCCCATTTTTCCCTTTAAACTGTGGGTTTTCTCTGGAAGTTTTTCCTTGTACGATGTGAGGGTCTAAGGACAGAGGGTGTCGTATTGTCATACTGATATTCTGTACAAACTGTGAAGTCCACTGAGACAAATGTAACATTTGTGATATTGGGCTATATAAATAAACATTGATTGATTGATTGAAATTCCCATCCCTAGAGCAAACATACAGTCATTTCCAATAACTAGGATGTATTCATCATGGCCCTCTTACCTTAGCTTTAAGAACAAGATCCACATTGGTTATTATATCTGTTGTGTAACCAGTGTTCTTGAGCCTTTCCTTTAGATGTTTGGTCACCTCGGTGCTTTACAATCACATCTCGTTCAAATCATATTTATATCAAACTATTTATTGTTGCAGCATCACAAATGTGAATATTTGCTGTTTTAATTTGTTTGTGTTTTAATATGTTTTAATAATAATGTTGCTGAATGGGTCACTTTGGGATTGTGGGTCAATTTATCAACAATCTCACAATCTTTTACAAAACAATCTATTTATTATTGGGGATATAAATCCGTAAATGAATCCATAATATAAATAATAATTAGTTAATAGGGGGAAAAGCGCTAAAAGTAAAATAAATAACCTTTTTCTGTAACAGCTTATTTTCAAAGTGAGGGATTATCATTTTAATTTGAGTAAAGGAGCAAAGCAATTCCTTCACAACTGTGTTTAACTGATTAGCTGAGGCATGCCTCAATTAGATGGCGTTTGAGGGCATAATCATTCAGTTTTATGTAACAATTAAATGAAATCAGTGTGACAGACCTTTCCACTTCTTGACTACTGATCTCACGCCTAAAGAGCATCTCACCTTCATGTTCTTGGAGGTGACGATGACGTCTCCGGTGCGGTTGGTGGTGAGGCCGTGTACAGAGGGGAAGCTTCGGCGAGGTGGGGGGGGAGGCGGGGACTTGGAGGGCTTCTCTGTGCGATACCTGCTGGCCATGCTGAGATCCACTACAAACACAGAACAATGGTTTGAATGGTTTGGCACAACTGAATAATACACAAACATAACAGATGACATATGACGAACAGTGCAGGAAGAGGCGAAGGAGCCATTGGGCTTATTCAAATCCTTTACCTAAATAATGTTAAAAATCACAATTTTCAATCTTTCTTCTCAATCTTATCTTTTCAATCTATATACAAACAATTGCTTGAAATCAGTAGAAATGGCAAACTTTAAGTACAACATATACAACACTTAAAATTTAGATCAAATAACACTGGCATCATACAGTGGTCACATTATTTTTTGGGTATTTTTTAAAGCAAGGCAGTGAGGTACAGTTTTTAGCAATTGTAAACAATTTAAAACACTTCAACATAAATAAACTGAAATTACTGCATAGCTGGTAGGGAGACACTCACCGGACCCTCGGTGTGAACCTCCCCCCTCCAAGCTGTTCAACTTCTGGGCAGCCATCTGCACTTTGTTGGGCTGCTGGTCCCCGCTGGGCGTGGTGCTGGAGGTCCCCGTGGTGCCAGCTGCAGGAGAAGTGGCTGTGGTGGAGGTGATTGGGATGGTGATTTGGGGCTTGGGGGGCACTACAGGCTTGTTTATGTGCCTGGCAGCGAAGTCCAGGTCTGGGATGGCCTTCATCAGCTCGGCCTGCGTCTCCTCCAGCAGCCGGTTGATGTCCTGCGCGCTGAACTGGGTCAGGCTGGCACGCTTCTCCTCCCAGTCCCGCTCTGCCGCCTGACACACACACACACACACACACACACACACACACACACACACACACACACACACACACACACACACACACACACACACACACAAAGAGTGATGAGCTGTGACATGCTAACTACTATCAGGCCAAGCTGGGAAAACATAATTAAGACACATTGATGCAGTTTGTTTTCTAATATTACAAGGATAAATGGGAGTTATTCACACACTGCTGCTGGTGTGTGAACAGATTCTCAATAGGACATTTAAGCACCTTCAGATGTTTTTTTAAATGTAAATGGACATTGTGCCATCTGGCTAATCTGGACAGGTATTATACTACCTGTTGAAAAATGTGCATAGTGTTGTTAAAGTTAACGAAAGGATACATAGTACCTTCGTTTGAAAAACAAGTTGCCAAAAAGTACAGAAATTGAAGGAACAGTGATTGGATCATATTAAAACAAAAACATTTAACATATTTCCTGTGTGCCTTTTTAATTTAAAGGACACCTATCATGCTATATTTAAATGATATATTGTAGGGCCATACCTACTGTATATAAGGTATATTTATACGTTTCTGTTTTCAAAATACCAAACAGATCATGCATTTTAGCCATGCCTCATTTCGCTCTATTTGCTGTTCTCCAGCCCTGTTTTTGCAGGGGGATGATTCTGTGAGCTGCAGCTGACCACGCCCCCCTGCAGGAGAGGGGAGCGTGCTCTGATCAAGTCAGAAGAGGGGGAGAAAAATGGATCTCCGTCCTCAGTGTTTTATTATTATAGAGTCGTTATTCATTTGTTTTAAAGCTCAATAAATAATCAAGAAGAACTTTGACCGGCACTTTTCAAATTTTGTCCGGAAGATTTAACCTTTAACGGACATATTGACCGGCGAAAGAAAACCTAACTAAAACTCTGCCGCACGGTCCCCTCGTTCCTTGGAAGAGGCGGAGAGGTGGGTGTTTGTCATCTGCTGGTGGACTAACCGGAGAGAATTACAGTGCTTGCCTTGACGGGGAGGGATTGCATTGAATTACAGCAGCGGGAGCAAACGCTTGCCTCGGGGAGGGAGAAAAAGAGCCACAGCGGAGAATAAACAGAAGGGCAACCATGGCAACCATGCGCGGGAAGTCTTCTTCGCTGCTTTTGTGGCAGACTACAGCGCCACTTACAGGCCTGGCATATGTACTACAGCGTCTCCAGCGCTTTCGAGCGGCAGTGGCGGCGCCAGAGTATTATTTCCCTGTCTCAATCCAAATTGAACTGTATGAAATAAAAAGGCAAATTTGTCTTGTAGTAAATAAAAAGGGCGACCTGGAGCCAATC